ACTGAACCATCTGGGCCAGCTGAGGGAATCAAGGGGAATGTGGCTTATGCTCATACAAACAGTTTAAAGGCCACCCCTTCTATAGGTACAGCATTTATGGCTTCTGTACTGTTTAAACACTTATCCTCCTTGTCCTGTGGACTCCTAAAGCCCCATTTTTTCAAGTCAGAGGAATGGATATGTGATGCCATATACTGATGAATTTTGTAGGTCAACATAAAATTGAGACTTTGCAACCTGAGACATGATTAAGACCCTGCCAAGCAAAGAAGCCATAGGGAGAGGACAGTCTGACTCCCCAAGGTGCATCCTTTATTGGCACCCTGAAATACACAGAGAACGGCAGGAAACAAGGTTAATCCTATCTCAGAAGGTTGGGCATCTGGCTACCAGCCCTTTCAAGGAGCCCATTTACTCTCCACTCCACACCCACAGGCACCTGCCACATGAGCTGGTGGATTCCTTCCAGACTTTCATCCATACTACCCGCTCTGTGTCAGTCATTTTTGCGTGAATGTGACCAAAATGCCTGGCAAGAAAAACTCAGAGAAGGAAAAGTTTCTTTTGGCTCAGGTTTTCTAAGAGATTCTGTCTACAGTGGGCCAGCTCCATCCCTGGGCCCAAGGTAAGGCAGAACATCATGGTGGAGGGGTGTGGCAGACAGGAAGCAGAGAGAGCCAAGGATGACTTAATCTCCAAGTGCATGCCCCCAGTGACCTACTTTCTCCAGCCATGCCCCATTCGCCTACAGTTACCCCCACCCATTAATGCATTCAAATTATTAATCCATCAAATGGATTGATCCACTAATGAGGCTACAGCTCTCATAATCTAATCATTTCACCTCTCAACGTTCCTGCATTATCTCACACATGAGCTTCTGGGGGACACCTCAAATGCAAACTATAACACTCTGTCACCCGCTTGTGTTCAAGTCTAACTCGACATTCCTCAATGCCCGGGCTACCTGAAGCCCATTTCCACACCACAGCCAAGCCCCCTTCAGTCATGCACTTGGCAGGGAAGCCAGGTGTCTACTTCCTAATGGCTGCAAGGACTGTTCATTCTCTCATGAAAGCAGACATCTATGAGATAAACACATTTTGGTCACAGAGCTGAGGAAAGTGAACTGCAAGTTAAATGCAGATCAATAGCCATGTTAAAACTGTACGTCAAGTATCTGAGCTAACCAGTTATCAAAGAAAAAATGGTTACAATACCACCACTTGTATGTACAGCTTACTTAAAAAAATCACACACGATTCTGAACTACAGTCATTCTGATTGTCTTCTGCTCTTTAACAGACTACTCCAAAAGTTGTTCAAGAATTTGCACTCTAGACTGGACTCCATGGCGGTGGCTCAACTCTGCTCATCTCAGAATCAGCTACAAGGTCTGGAACGGAAGACCAAGCTCTTGGCAGCTGGAGCAGGAACAGCTCCTGAGCATTGGGGCATCCTCTGAGGCCTCCCCACATGCTTTCTCCAGCAGAAACACTTCAGAGTGGCCACACTTCTCACACATTATCTCAAGGCTCCCAGAAACTACATCCTAAGACAACAAGCCAGGCACAACACTTAGGACACACCAGCCAACACATTTGCAAAATGGTGCTCAATGTCAAGGGGACAGGTGGGAAACAGAGTCCAAGGTCTCCGCCTCCGCCTGGCTTTGCCTCGTGGCTCTGCCATCTGAGTTCTGGACACTTCCTTGAAAGGTAGTCATAACTCCCCAGACATATGAGGGTGTCAACAAGGAGGGCATGTGCTTCCCCCACTTAATACAAAAATGTGAAAGGGATCATTAAGGGCCGAATTGTGTCCCCTCAAATTCACAAATTGAAGCCCTAACTCTGGTCCCTATTAAGTTACCCCTGAAGAGATAACTAAGTTAAAAGGAGGTTAGTAGGGTGGACTCCAATTCAATAGGACCACTGTCCTTGTAAGAAGAGGAAACTTGTTCACATGCAGGGACAAAGGCCCCCATGTGAGGACACAGTGGCCAAGTAGGGCCAGAGTGAAACCAACAGTGACAGCACCTTCCTCCCAGACTTCTAGGACTGTGAGGAAATGCGTTTCTGCTGTTTAGGCCTGTGGTGCTCTGACACTGCAGCCCAGGCACACTGATACAGGGATCAAAGGGCAACAGCACGGAATCCAACCAACTTCAGAAGTTCTAAAGCTGAACTTGCTGCGAAGCACCCGATCTTCATCCTGAGGGCCCCAGCCAGGAGAGCGGTGTTTAGAAGCATTAATTGATCAAATGAGGCTGTGATGCTTCACCACGTGGCACGGTATTCCTGATGTGGCCTGAGTCTCTGCCTAGGAAACAGGCCCATGTCGTTGACGGTTCTCCGCCCAGCCAGGGCTGCCTCCTGGACAGTGCTTGCCCTCTTCCTGTTCAGCTCCATCTTTGAACAAAGCCTTTGGGTGGGTCTCAAAGCTCCTCAAGGATCAGGCTTCCCCTGGGACCTCACAAACCTGTGAAGGTTCTCTCCAGTCCCATTTGGGAAGCAAAATCTCAGCCATATGGCCATATGGTAAGTACAATCGAGAAGTGATTTTTTTTTTTAATTGATAATGAGGTGCTTTCACTCTTTGTACTGAGTTGAATAGTTTTACCCTCAAAATTAAATGTCCAGGAGAAGTTCAGAAAACTTATTTGGAAACAGGCGTCTGCAGAAGGAATCAAGGTAAGAGATGAGGCCATAGTGGATGAAAGTGGGCCCTAAACTCGTCGACATGTTCTTTCAGGGGAGGAGGCCCTGTGGAGATGGAGACAGGGGCGGGGACATGCAGCCTGAGCCAAGGAACACCAGGGACTGCCAGAAACAAGCAGTGACCAGGGAAGGGCCAGGGAGAGATGCTGCAGAAGGAACCCAAGCAGCCTGTGCCTCCACTTCTGACTTCTGGCATCCAGAACTGAGGAGGAATATATTTCTGTTGTTTTAAGGCACCAGGTTTGTAGGAATGTGTTATGGCAGCCCTGGGAAATGAATCCACTTTATTTAGATAGGATTGTAACTCGTTAGCACCACCCCTGATCTTGTTCTCCATCTCTCACTGCTGAAAAGTTATCTAAGTTAGTTTGAAGCACACATCCTTGACTGAAAGCATTATCATCAAGGAGCTGTCGACAGACCACGTTTAGACGTCGGCTGCTGGCCGATGTCCTCACAGAAGGAGGTTCTTGGTCTGTCTGTGTCGGTCTTCATGCAGGGTTGTGTTTCTGTCAGAGTCTTTGCCATAGTTGTACTAAACTAGTTTGCTGACAGTTCTTGTCATCAGGCATGCGCCCGCCCATGAGGTCCCCTTCTTAACCTCTCTGCTTCATTTGTTGATTGATTTATTGGGTTTTGACACGAGTGACT